GTTTGGTCATTTGGACGTCAAAAGTTTGGTCATTTGGACGTCAAAAGTTTGGTCATTTGGACGTCAAAAGTTTGGTCATTTGGACGTCCAAAGTGACGTCATTTCGACTTCGAAAATTAGGTTGTGAGGACGTAAGAATCCTTGCGTTAAACGTCCTCAACACGTCCTCAACACCTAAAATATGACGTCGCCGGACGTCACACTGGTAATTATTGACGTCCCCATGACGACCTTAGGACGTCCTCTGGTTTCTAGGGGGGTCTAAATTACGATTTGGGGGACTTAAATCAGAAAATTTAAGAAGAATGAATCATTTTAAAAAATTTCATAAGGCTAATAGAAAATTTTGTTGGCAGAAAATACCAGATATTTCGTGTATTATGTGCGAATTTTGGCGTTATAAATTGTTGATAATCTAATATGATGGGACGCTCTGTATAAGCTGTAGCAGGACCCAAAACTGCTAACTTTTTTGTTATTTAAACTGTTTTCTTTTTCTACACCGGCCACCGATTAGTGTTTTTTAATTAATTATTTTATTTGTAATTCAAATCTATTTATTGTTCAAAAAGTTTAAAATGATTATTTTATTTGTCATCCAAATTCATGGGATTCATGGCGTATAATTCTTATGTGTCCCTGGTGTGCGATAACGCGGGGATAGTTAGACAAGTAGATAGAAAGCCGGTGTCCTTCTTATCCAGCCCAAAACTGGTTTCCGGACAGCCCAGTCAGGTACAGCTAGATAGATAGATAGATAGAGAGTTGAGCTCAGTCAGGTAGTGTCGTTGGTTTCCACAGGTTCAGGTATAGGAGAGTGTGAGACCAACCCTATATTCCTTAACTATCTATCTATCTTTCTGTTGTGTTATACTATCTATCTATCTATCTAATCCAGGTAAATAGATTACATTCACTTCACTAGTTTCATCTATTCTTCATAGTATACACAGGTACAGATAATACAAATTATATGTATTCTTCAGTATACACAGGTACAGATAATACAAATTATATGTATTCTTCATAGAGTAGCGAGCTCTGTCGCAAAAATGTATGAGAAGTTCAAATAATACTTGTTAAATGTAAAAGCCTGAAAACAAATGCTTTCAGTTCTAAACTGTATACTTGTCTAAAACTACAAAAAAGTACAAGTAGAGTAGTAAACGGCGTTACGACTCTTTTAAGTCGATCCGGTCTTGATATTTTATGCAATTTTTTAGAGCAGTCTGGATTTATGTACGAGCCTCCACTGATACTATATCAAATAGAATTAATCTTTAATTTGCAAACATATGTACTCCTTTAGTCTGATTTGTATCTTTGTTCGGTAAAAAAAATCTTTTAAAGATTTCTAACAAGTGTGAAGGTTTATGCCTGTGCAGTGTCCATGTATGATTATAGAAAATATTTATTTATTTTTACGTTGATATGAAAACGTGGGTTTCATTATAATTGTTTATCTATGCTAATTAATATTTAATATTAGTTTGTACAAGGCGCTACAAGAATTACATGATTAAATTTGTTTAGTTATATTTAAAGAGCTCGTTAAGGCGTATAAAAGAACATAATCAATAATGAAATGGAAAAGTGTCATTTTTACTTTAAAAGTTCACCAAGTATATCAAGTATTGAATAGTAATCAAAATATAATGTTCATTATGCAGAGTTACCCGAAAAAGATGAGACTGTAAAGACGACCTGAAACTATTGAAATATGACGATATAATGGTTGAATTAAATCTATTGCCTTAGATATTACTTTTAATGACTTATTTAATGATTTGACATGACATGACATGACATGAAATAAACAAGTTCACATTGGTAGGGTATCATAAATATAATGAAAAGAACAGTGTAAATTCTGTGTTTTGTCTCTGAAGTCTCATCCTTTTGTAGGCAACCCTGTATAATAACTAGATATCAAAATCGATATTTGCTAATCCTGTTTTTTGTCAATTTCTTTTCTTTGTAAACCTAAAAATATCCTGTAGAGAAGTTCTAAGAATAATTCTAAATGAATTTTTGTGAAATTTTTGCTCTTGTTTTTCAGTTGCTCTATATTGGAGGAATAGTTGTGGCATCTTTGCGTTTAGGATATTCAGAGAATTCGTGGACTCAGGTAAACATTATTCAGAGAATTCATGGACTCAGGTAAACATTATTTTTTCAACGCGCCCACAATCTTTGCTTTAAGGATATTCAGAGAATTCGTGGACTCAGGTAAACATTATTCAGAGAATTCGTGGACTCAGGTAAACATTATTCAGAGAATTCGTGTACTCAGGTAAACATTATTCAGAGAATTCGTGGGGTCAGGTAAACATTATTCAGAGAATTCGTGGACTCATGTAAACATTATTCAGAGAATTCGTGGACTCAGGTAAACATTATTCAGAGAATTCATGGACTCAGGTACACATTATTCAGAAAATTCATGGACCCAGGTAAACATTATTTTTTCAACACGCCCACAATCGATCAAGAAGAACCGTTCATAGAATACTGACAACTTGTTTACTAGTCTAATTGCAATCTGATTGCTTGGATCTTTTTAAGTTATTTATTTTTACCATTTATATTTACACTGACTGGGCTCAAAGGAACTATGTTCTTGCCGCAATCTAAATCTTCCCAACCAGATGGATAAACTTTTTGATCTACAGGGAGACTGCAAAGACAACCCACAACTCACGAAATATGAATTTGGAAGCTTATTTTAGTTTTTTGCATTCAATTGAGTATTTTGATGGTCTACTAAATGATTAAGCACAGAAATAAGCCAGTTTTGACCTACAAAGAACTCTGAATGCAAGAAAATGGAATAAACAAATTCCGAAAACAAAACTTTTAAATTTATTTCAAGAACCGGGCCGATATCTAACCAACCAGCTCTAGAGCGAGCTGTACAGTACATATACGGATTATACCAGGCAAAACGGGATAGTACACAAATGAACGAGACCCTTCTAGGGAAATTCTAGTTCATGTAGCACACTGAACAAGACAGATAGATCATTTCAAATGTGTGCTACTATACTGGCACTACTTTGTGAACATTTAAAACATTTTTGTTCTTCTCACTAACCTTCAATAAGAGGAGTTAAGATTAAAAAAAAAACATTTATTGTATTACAATCTCATCTGGTATTTATGTACTTTAGTGTGACAAAAAAGCAAGTATAAATTTTTTAAGCCTATGTCGGTTGGTTTTGTAATAAAACGTACGCATACCCAGGTTGGCTGTAAAGTTCACTTTTCTAAGCAACGATCGGATTGTTTCGTTAACGATTTAAAAAGAAAAAAAGAAACGCTAGTTTTTAAATTATCGTTTTTTATTTTTTTATTTTTGACAATCATTAACGATCATTTACGACCTATTATCTTATTATCACATTTTTATTTAAAATTCAAAATTTAGTTTTTTAAGTATATTAAGCACGAAGAACATATCAACATCTGATTCTTTTCTATTGCCCTCCCTTTATTCTGAAATATCCCTGGGGGTG